GTCATTTTAGCCCATCGTGGGGCCAAAACGCCCCTCTTATATAAAACGACCCTTCCGAGGAGTCAAAACTACCCTTCAACACAAGGGACCGAAATGACCCCAAGGGGTCAAAACGACTCCTTTGAATTTACAGTGTACATATTCTTTTTTATTCGAGCCAAAATATACATATTACTATAGAAATTTAGCCTGCACGCAGACTATATAATATATATATATATATAATATATATATATATATATATATATATATATATATATATATATATATATATATATATATATAATATATATATAATATATATATATATAATATATATATATATAATATATATATATATATATATAATATATATATATAATATATATATATAACATATATATAACATATATATAATATATATATAATATATATATATATAATATATATATATATAATATATATATATATAATATATATATAATATATATATATATATATATATATATATATATATATATATATATATATATATAATATATATAATATATATATATAATATATGTCATTAAATATATGTCATTAAATAGTCTGCGCGCAGGCTAATAGAAATTATCCTATTGTTATAATTTGAATGCCTGAGCATATTTGCCAACTCTCTAACGAGTTGCAATGAATATGCCTGATATGCATTAATTACAGACCGAGGCGATGGCTACCAATCCTTCATTGTTCCTGATAAAGTGTACTGAAAACATAGAGTTATTCAGTATTCATTTCATTTTCAACTATGCAATGTCAATGAATGATAAACTGACAGGGCATTTATTTATTTACCCTATAAGTCTACATTCAATTCTGAACATTATGCGAGATGGTGGACCGGTGAGGTATTAAAAAATGCAAGTTATCGCACCTCATAAACTGAATATTGGTATTTTTCACTCATCCGAACTGTGAGAGGAAGTACAAAAGAAAAATCGACAAAAGGGAAAACCCCACCTTAACCAGCACGTACTCTTAGTTGATATCGCCATGACCGCAGACCGCAGTTTCCGGTTAGAAACGTGGTTGAAACTTGGAAATACACTTCCCACATCGATCTTCCTCTCCTCCCCCCCCCCCCGGCTTTTCTATATCAACATCCCCATTACCACTTCAAAGTATAAATACGCTCTTCCTGCTACTCGTTTCATATTTAAATAAGCTCAACTGATAAAACAGCAGCTCGTACTTGGTGTCTAATCAGTCTTCATTAGCTCCTCGATGGGTTTCACTTCATCAAACTCGATGAGCTCCTCGATGGTATCGCCACAGGCAAAGACACAGACAACAAGTATTTCAACTTCATCAACGAGACCTCCAAATGACCAATATTTTGACGATTGGGCACATGCGTTACTTGTCGCAGTGTTGTTGCTCCTTGTTATTATATTTACAGTACTTTTGATTAAGTATTGCAGGAGGAAAATATCGCGGGCTAGTACTTGTACACCAAGTTATATTGTAGAAGTACGGTCAGATTCTCCGACCTCAACACCTGGTCAAAACGAAGTTCAAAATAGCCCTTTATACTATGAAGCAGATACCTTTCAATTCTCGAGCAAGGAACCAAAAGTGATTGAACCTACGGACGTTGAGAGTAATTCAAAAGATGAAAATTGCTGTCCTGAAAATATTGAATATGAAACTATGAATCCACCTCAAGCCAGCGCGGAGTACGTTTACGCGTATGGCCATGTAAATATAAACGCGGGTTATATGAACACTCCGCTCTCGCGCAAACGGCCAACAAACGGAGTTGAAGACGATTATGAATATCCGCAGAACCGCAGGAGTTCTTCAGATAACGAATATCGTTATGCGTATGACTGGCTGGATCCTGATGCCAGAGTGGCCGCATTGAGCGCCAATGAACCTGTGCTGGCCTCTCATGGCAAAGATAAAGTGGACGACAATGACACTGTTTGTGAAAATGATGAAACATTGTCGGGAGAACGTCTTGGAAATTCACCCGAACCGGTACCTCTTCAATATGTTACTGTCGTTAAAAACGTTGAACTTTTGTAAAACAGGTTAAAACTAGTTAAGATTCATAATGTTTTGTGCAAAATATACACCAATTACACCAATATACTTTAATATAAAAAAACCCCACTGATTTTATATATAAGTGACGATGACTGTAAGAACAAATACGTTAATTGGCTGAAAAATAATCGTCATTGTACATATAGGGACATTAATATGCTGAATATACGATCAAATCCTGCTTTAGTCATAAATTTCCACTTCAACCGTATCGTAACCGATCGAAGAATTTACTTTTGTATAAAGTAATCATTGGTATCACTTCAGCGTAAATTTCGCTACGGTATAGTTTGTGTGGAAATCGGGTCGAAACAGATAAATTTCCTGTTATCGGAAACTATATTGTAATTCATGAATCTATTAAATACACTTTGCCTTTTCGGTCGAATGTAATTAAGTTCGTATCTGTTTTTAGTTCCTTTTCAAAAGCCTCGCATATAGATTTTGTCCGCAAGAAACGTCATATGGACGTTTGGGGTTGGGGGTAGGAAGGGAGGGGAGTTGCAGCTGTGACGTTTCAGAGAAATGACCATATGACGTTTATTATGGACAAAATCCCTATTAATTTTTCTTTTGTATGTGTAACTGTTTTAAATCGTTGTGTTGACATACCTAATAATTACTGGAAGTATGAGCTGGGACCTTTCTGTATCCTGGCGAACACGCCCTTCCAGTTCCTAATAAAGGCCATACCACCCTACCCACCCAATATTGGTTCACTTTACACTGTCGGAAGTTTCTTTGCTCAGTTAATGTTTGTGTGACCGACAGTTCAAACCTATTTTAAGAGGGCATTAAAGACGTACGTGTCTTATTGTTGAAGTATAATAAACAAAAGGAAATAACTATGATCTCATAGAAAAGGGTCGTCAGTTTTCTTGAAAAATTCAATGTTTTTGGTTTGTTATATTTTGCAATCCAAGATAAAATAAATGAATTAGGGTATTTTTCTTCTCTTTTACATTCTTTATTTGAACACAAACTTGGAAAATCGTATTTTCCAATTATTTCTAGTTGTGCCTCCATTTTGTTTATTTATGTACGTAGCCGGTCGGGGCGAGCAACAATTTTTCACTTGTTGCCCGGCGGGAAACATCGCATTTATTTGAAGCCACGTGACTACAAATCAGCCAATCACGTTTGGTGTTCACTCTAGCTATATAACAAAGTCCTTTCTCTAGTTAGTTTTGGTCATATTGTTACAAAGTTTACCAGAAAACTCGCAAGTCTTCCTGTCTGCAGCAACATGTATGCCACGTATCTAAATTTTCCGCATTCCTAAATCAGGGTTCGTAGCGGTCTTTGAAATCCTTGAAAGTCTTTAAATTTGAATGCAGGTCTTTAAGATCTTTTAAAAGTCTTTGAATTGTGTGAAAAAGCGAAGAAAGTCTGTAAAAGTCTTTAAATTTTTCAGTGAGTATTTGATTATACGATTTTCTAGCTGATAAAATTGATTGAAGCACGATTTTCGCAAATATCGACGAAAAGGTGCATTTTAGGATGTGATTTGACTGGACTATACCTGGTAAAAATGGTCCTTATACACTCGCAATTTTTCGACAGCTGATTGCTCTCAAAGATCTTTGAAAAGTCTTTGAAAATAGGCAGAAAAAATCTTTGAAAGAAATTTTTTTGGTCTTGGACACTACGAACCCTGTAAATGTTTTGAGACGAAAACAGGATACATTTTTGGGAGCGGCCTATTCATGTGTGAATTGGCATGTTAAGCCGGTTCATCACCAGGCGGAATTTTGCGCGGGGAGCGGAATATTTCTTTGTCGTGTGGTTTGGCACCCTTAAGCTTGCCGTGGAATTGCCATGATCATCAGTCGTGTGCTCAGTGGCGTAACGCTCATTGGTTAGGGTTAGTTCAAAAACTAAGGACCCCCCGACAGTTGGGGGTCCCCATCAGCCACAGCCTATCGCCCAGAAAATTAGAAAACGTATAAAAGATGCAGGTGAAGAATCAATTGGAAAATGAAAAATTAACAATACTATATAAATAATAAAGCCTACATCGACAACGGTAGCTGATTTTTTTATTCCATCTCAAATAAAGCAAGAGTTATTCTTATTAGTTGTTACATATGTTGGAGATTGTTATTGTTATAGGCCAGGAATTTTCCATATAATATCTCAGTCAAACAATGACAATAGGCAACAGGCCCCACACCAAATATGCCTAAGGGCCCCCTCTTCCTCTGTTACGTCACTGCGTGTGTTCCGTCGTGAGTGAATACAATTGTGATCACAATATCCGGTTTGATCCGGTTAGAATCTCTCCTGCTAGTATGGCCATAGCTACTTGAAATTATAACACATTCCTATTACCTGTTTCTTATTTCAATTAAGCTCAGTGCTGAACAACAGCTCGCGGTGTCTAATCATTCTTCATGAAAACATCTAAACAAAGAGACAATAGAAACAAAACAATTATAAACATTTCGGTGCAAGAACGGAGAGGGACCCTAAATCAAACAGGAAATGCTTTTGTGTTAATGATACTCATAAAAAAGTGTCATAAACTCATTCAGAATACTACTTTGTACAGTCTGGTTATACATTTGTGTATTTCTGTACGGCGTGAAATTCCTAGAACACAAGAGATGAGGAACGCTGGTACTCATTCCGTTCCAAAGAGTGATATCACAATGAAACAGGATTCTTCAGTTAATCTAAAGAAGACGTCGGACTTAAAGACTATGCCGAGGCCCATTAGATCAGCACCTACAGCATCGGCTCCCAATACATCAAACTCGATGAACTCCTCAACGGCTTACATTAGATCAACCTCGACGAACGCCTCGATGGTTCCCAGTACAACAAACTCGATGAGCTCCTCGATGGCTCCCAATACAACAAACTTGACGAACTCCTCGATGGCTCCCACTACATCAAACTCGATGAACTCCTCAACGGCTTACATTAGATCAACCTCGATGAACTCCTCAACGGCTTACATTAGATCAACCTCGACGAACGCCTCGATGGTTCCCAGTACAACAAACTCGATGAGCTCCTCGATGGCTCCCAATACAACAAACTTGACGAACTCCTCGATGGCTCCCACTACATCAAACTCGATGAACTCCTCAACGGCTTACATTAGATCAACCTCGATGAACTCCTCAACGGCTTACATTAGATCAACCTCGACGAACGCCTCGATGGTTCCCAGTACAACAAACTCGATGAGCTCCTCGATGGCTCCCAATACAACAAACTTGACGAACTCCTCGATGGCTCCCACTACATCAAACTCGATGAACTCCTCGATGACTTACATTAGATCAACCTCGATGAACTCCTCAATGGCTCCCAGTACAACAAATTCGATGAGCTCCTCAATGGCTCCCAGTCCCAGTACAACAAACTCGATGAGCTCCTCGATGGCAACGACACAGACAACCTCGATGAACATCTCGACATCAAAAAACACTGCGTTTGCGTCTATCCCGATGATTGCGTCTACATCTGGTGGCGCATTGTTGCTCCTTGGTTGTATTGTTACAGTAGTTTGTTGCAAGAGGAGAAACTCATGCAGTAAACTGACTTATACAGTAGAAGTACGGCCTGGTCAAAACGAAGTTCAAGATAGCCCTATATTCTGTGAAGTAGATATCTTTCAATTCCCGAGCAGCGAACCACGCCGCTCAGAAACTGATGAAACAGTCGATACACAAGTGGGTGAACCTACACACGTTGAGAGTAACTCAGAGGATGAATATTGCTATCCTGAAATTATTGAAAATGAATATGAAACTATGAATCCACCCCAAGCCAGTGCGGAATACGCTTACGCGTATAGCCATGTAAATGTAAACGCGGGTTTTATGAACACTTTTCCGCGCAGGCGGCCAACAAACGGAGTTGAAGACGATTGTGAATACCCGCTGAAAAGCAGGAGCTTTTCAGATAACGAATATCGGTATGCGTATGACTGGCGGAATCCTGGTTTTAGGGAGGACATATTGAGCTCCTGTGAGTCTGTGGAAGGATATTATACCCCTCTTGACAAAGATAAGATGGACGACAATTTTTATGGCCGAAGTTATCAAACATTATCGCAAGAAATTCTTGAGAAAAACCCCGAAACGACACCTCTTGAATACGTTACTGCCGTGTAAAGCACGTTGACGTCTATAAAACACGTTAAAGTTCAGTTTAAAGTTATTGTTTTGTGAAACATGCCTGTTTGATTGGTGAATTGTTTTCACTGTTCATTTTAAAATGGAATGTGGGAAATGAAAAATCCATTGTTTGAAACATGACTGCCGCATAGTGGACCAAAGCGCATACCAACTAGATGAACTTTTGAAAAGAAAAATATTAATGATTCTAACAATAACTGTAAGTAAATAATTTAATCATCATCATGGTGGTATATGTTTATCCACTCATAAATTATGTGCTCACACATAAATGTACATATATTATAGGGACTAATTAATTCGTTGACTGTACGGTCATATATCCTGCTTAATTTTAGAATGTTTGGGTTTGTAATCCAAGTGAGTATATATACATTTTAAGACCTAACCAGGAAAAGTGTTTATCCGTGTAGTCGACGTCTATTAATCTCTACTTTATCTTTGCAAGCTCAGACCCATGCATGCAGAAGCAAAGGTAAAGGCCATAGTCTTTTTGGTATTTCTTCCCGCCGTGTGAACAAGGGTAAAGCCAAAGGAGTCATCACGATAGAGAGTCACAGCTAGCATAGGTTGATGGGGTCGTGAAAACATAATAACTAGATATAAAATAACAAAAATAAAAGTGTTAAGATTTCTATTTACACGACAATTGTAAGAGTGTGTGTTTCTAGATATTAAAACTTAGTGAAACATCGTAGCATAAAGACGTTCAATCTTGAGAGAATTTCTAAAAGCGTTCAAAGACGTCTGTGAATGAGACAAGCTAAATAACTTGGCTCAACTTCAAAAATTAGGGTGCAGCCAAAACTATGCATGTGCGTGAGCGACAGAGCGAGACGCGCCACTCATAAATGTAGTTTCCTGGTAGTTTCGTTGAGCGCTAGCCCGCTCAGCCACGCGCAGTCTTTCTAAGCGGGCAACTTGTGGCAAGTCTAGTTTTGTGAATGTATATTTGAGTATGGTATAGTATACCATTCATATCCCACCTATTCTTCTTTGCCATGGTTGTACATATAAATGTATAGATTAAATAATAATAGTACAGAACTGGCAAGAATTGCAGCCAAAATTATGTGCGTGACTAAGCGAGGTACACCCACGCATAAATGTAGTTTCCTTGAAAACTCTCTTGTACTCACAGGCACTCTTTCTATTCTCCAATATACATCTTACGCAACTTGTGGCAAGTTTTAGTTTTGTGTATGTATATTTGAGGATGGTATAGTATACCATGCATATACCACCTATCTTTCTTTGCCAGATTATGTAGAGTATGGTGTTCGTCAGTAATAAAGTCGCAGAATAGCCAATAGGGATGCATGTATATAAAGGCTCTTTGAAACGAGGCCAACATGTTGGTTCAATAGCATTCAACCGATTGTTGGATGCAACATGTCGGCCTGATTGACTTTGTTTAAAATTTTCATCCAACGTTGTGCAACATCATCCAACATTATTGAATCAACAGTATTAGACAATTTTAGACTCGTTTGAACGGCATAATGATGGACTTTGTTTCCAAGTCAACCGTCAAAATTGAGTATTGCAAATTCGTTCCTTATATCCTCAGCTGAACAGTGTTTCCTGAGCGGCCGAGGGCTGAGAATCACAGCCGGCAACAGGGTACAACTTTCTTTGATATTGAAGATATTCCAGTATTTGTAAAATAATTATATTGAAGGTATTCCAGGATCTGTAAAATAAACAGACTTTAGTGTTTACTTTATTAAAATGAATACCAATTGTATAATGATCTAGAAGACATCAATAAAATACGAGCAGCGATTCTTCAAAACGTGCCATTCTGTGTTGCGTGGGCCAAGACAATCACGTGTGTTCATCACGAGAAAACGTGAACGAAACTCACCGAAATCCGTTTTTCAACTGCACACAGAGTAACGATATTATTTCATGAATGTGTAGGTGGAATTTATTATTTTATAATGATACATATAGAGTTGTCTTTATGAAGAGCCATGTTAAATAACATACATGTGGTTTTTAAGCTGATCACGTCCAAACAGTCAAACACGCGCTTCATGTTACAAACTCAGTGCCAAAGCGGTTTAGTACTTTGTATATCCGATGCCTCTGTGCCCACGCAACCGGGGGGAGGGGACAGGAAAAACTCAAGTATTGGAATTACACGTATTTTGGCTTCTTTCGAGGCCTATACGTGTAATTTGTTTTCTTGGCCTTGGTACTGTAAAAGACTTGCAGAGTTCATGGAAACGACCCCTGATACTGTCATGCAACTGCTAGCAACGAACTGTATTACAGCCACTGTGGTTTTATGATTTTCACAGTATATCACATTAATCAAAAGATGGTAGTCTTGAATTTAAACCTGCCAAAGATGCAGTTTGATGTAAAACAGAAAAGAACTGAAAATTGTGTATTATTGAGGGTGAGGCCTTGCATATACTGCGAAATTGACATAAATTGCCAATTTTGTATTTGTACATAGCAGGATTTTTTTATAGCAGGATATTTCAATGAGTGTGCTGAAAGAGATAAGCAGACAAGAACACGTCATTCACGCAAAAACGCAAACATAAGTTAATTGTTCAGAAGCGCAAACACAGTCGTTCAAAGCGCAAACATAATCGACTTTCGTCTTTCGTATGCTTTTACTAAAAATCGCGCATTTAGTCGTCCAAAATCTGAGAGGACCGTCTCGACGCCCATGGTTAAATGAGTTTTCTCATGGTGACAGAAGAATAACTCGGAAAACCGGACCCGCCTTAAATTGTTTATGCAGTATTTCTACAAGTGTGGAATAACTTCTGCCAATTGCAATGACTGTGTACCCCTGTACTCTGTGAGTCAATATAGTAATTATATTCACAATATTCGGTTTGAAACTTGAATATGAATCTTCCATATGCCCCCCTTCCAGGATCCTGTTACCACTTCAAAGTATTTACATAAGCTCAATAAAACAACAGCTCGCACTTGGTGTCTACTTGGTCTTCATGAAAACATCCAAACAAGTGACAAGAGAAACTAAGCGAGACAAAACAATTAAACAATGCTGAAATCATTAAATCAATTTATACAGTTTCTATTCATACTTATTCTGGTTGCACGTATCAGCGTCAGTCAACCGGGGGAATCTAGGAATGCTACGAAGTGTTCAACCAAATGTGTCAACGATATGGAGAAACTGGCTCAATTAAAGCAAGCGTGTAAAGCAATGACTTTGTCAAAATGTTGTCCACACTTCGGTGCAAGAACGGAGAAGATCCCTAAATCAAGAAGGAAATGCTTCCGTGTTGATACTCATCTAAATTCAACAAAAAGTGAGTGTGCTCAACTCCTTCAAAATACTACATTGCAAATAAAGTCGTGTTATACATTTGTTTATTTTTGCATTTACCCGGACTGCGTAAAATTCCCAGAACAAGAGATAAGGAACGCTGGTGCTCATTCCGTTCAAAAGAGAGGCGTCACGGCACAGCCGAGTGAACAAAGTACAAATCACACATCCACAATGAAAACGACACAGTCGAGTCCAACAACGTTTTTTCAACATTGTAAGAATGCTTGTTATGTTGTTGCTGCTGCTGGATTAGCAGTATTGATTCTTGTTGCAATAGTTTTGTTTAAGTATTGCAAGAGGGGAAACTCGTGTAGTAAATTCATTTATACAGTAGAAGTACGGCCAACTTCTCTGACTACAACACCTGTTCAATATAAAGTTCAAAATAGCCCTATATTTTGTGACGCAGATGTCTTTCAATTCCCAAGCAGGGAACAACGCTCAGAAATTTCGGAAACAGTCGAGACAGATGTCGATGAACCTACAAACGTTGAAGGTAATTCAGAAGATGAATATTGCTATCCTGAAAATATTGATGATGAGTATGAAACTATGAATCCAGGCAATCCACCTCAAGTCAGTGGAGAGTATGCGTACGCGTATGATCGTGCAAATATAAACGCCGGTTTCAGTATGAACACTTTTCCGCGCAAACGGCCAACAGACGGAGTTGAGGACGATGATGAATGCCCGCAGAACAGCCGGAGTTCTTCAGATAACGAATATGTTTATGCGTATGACTGGCTGGATCCTGATGCTAGAGTGGCCGCATTGAGCGCCAATGAACCTGTGCTGCCATATATCTGTCTTGACAAACGTGAAGTGGACGACAATTGTTATGAAAATGATCAAACATTGTTGCAAAATAGTCTTGAAAAAGAAATAGTACCTCTTGAATACGTTACCGTTGCGTGAAACACGTCAATGTTTGTAATTAAAACGCGTTAAAGTTTAAAAGTATTATAATGTTTTGTGGAAATGAATTGATGAAAAATCCATTGTTAGAAACATAACTTCCGCAGAGTGGACCTTTGTGTATACCAACTATAGTCGACACTTTTGAGAAGAAAAATATTAACGATTATAAATAAATAATTAAATTAGCCGAAAAATAATCGTTAATCAATCACTGCTTGACTGGCAATTAAATTCGATAATTGCAACGTTGATTAAATTATTGCTCTTAAATTTCTACTTCAACGTATCTTATACGTCGAGCGAAGAATGTACTTTTATATAGAAGTCATACGATATGGTTTGACTGGAATCGAGCTGAAACAGCTAGGGTATGTGAAGTATGCTTTCTGTATATATTGTGTAAATAAACGTTGTTGTTATCGAAAACTATATATATTGTAACTCAATCTATTAAATTCAACTTGACGGCTTACAGGAAAGTGTTTATCCGCGTCGTTGACTTCTATAGCCTGTACTCAGTCGAGCACGATAGGTGGTCACCATCACGATAGGTATAGTCATAGCTAGCATTTAGGCTTTTTTCCACTCAACGCAAAACAGCTCGCAGCGAACTTGTGAGTCCTCACGAGTAACTCGCAGTGTGCTTGCGAACACTCGCAGCGAAGGTAAACAATCTGAACAATGTTTTCCGGCTGATCCGGCGCGAACAAAGAAGACCAGTAGTCAATTACCCTGGATTCCAGAGCCTTCAGTAAATAATAAATTGAAACGTCGTGAAGGCTCTGGTTCAACAGGAGGATTCTTTGATTAAACCGCGCTAATCACAAAACAGAATTAGTGGTTTTAGTGCAGAATCTGTACTAAAACCACTAATTCTGTTTTGTGATTGGCGCGGTTTAATCAAAGAATCCTCCCGTTGAACCAGAGCCTTCACGACGTTTCAATTTATTATTTACTGAAGGCTCTGGAATCCAGGGTAGTAGCCAATGGAATTCGTTGAAAATATCATTTAAACATTATATTTATATTTATTTATCATATTAACGTTTTGTATATTTGAGACTTCTTTTCCTACGTCGTCTTGAATAAAGTTAGAGCAAAAGGCGCCGATCTAAAGCGGCCGCCATTTTGCAAAAACGTAAATTAGTTACGCGAGATGATGAAGTCGGCTAGCTGCGAGCTGTTTTTGCAATGAGTGAGAGCCTTAAGACTGGTGGGGTTGTGAAAACATCATCAAATAGATACGACTTACATGTTCAAAATAACAGATCAGTATAAAAGTATTAAAATTTCTATTTACATGACAATTTTAAGAGTGAGTGTTTCTAGATATTAACATCGTAGCATCAAGACGTTCATGCAGGGACGTAGGGAAGTCGGCTGAAGTTGGGGGAGGATTTTACGGTTTTTACCTGAAATTTGAACTCAATGTTAAAAATTTACCTGAAGTGTAATAATTATAATAGAGCTTTTTATGATTGATTTCCACTGTCATACTAAGTTTGCGAAGAAAGGGGGGGTCGAGAGGTCCTCCCCCAGAAAATTTTTATATTCATTTGAAGCCCCAGGACTGTATTTCTTGCCGTTCTAAAGCAAATTCGCAAACGAATTGGATCTAAATGGACTGTATTTTATGAAAAATGGTTATCATTTCACAAAATAACGACTTTATTATGCACATTTTACCTGAAAATGTCAAATTTAAACTTGAATTTTAACACCCCCCGGTCATGTTTCGCTCGCTACTCTGGTTTAAATAAATGATTACAAAGCCCAGTCGAATTGTAATCAAGACCCAACGTTTCGACACTCCAGTCTAGTGTCTTCATCAGGGGTGATCTAAAACTGCGATCGTGGCTTCTTAAATACCCAAGGGATGACGTCACCTGCCAAGAAGATGCATATATTTCTCTGCCAAATAGGCACCGTCATCCCTATTCAAAGCATGATGACTCATATTTATATGCCACGCTTCTAGGCAAAGTCTTTGACCATAGCGATTCTTTGTGGTAATTACTTTAGAGTTTTCCCACGGAATCTCGTGTTTAGTATAACATACATGTTCGGCTAAAGCTGATTTTCCCTTGTCTAAAGTTAAAACAGCCTTTTGATGTTCTTTTAGCCGTGTACCAAACTGGCGTTTAGACTGACCCAAATACTCTTTGTCGCAGTCACCGCATGGTATAGAATATATAGCATGAGTCTTCTGATTTGTTTCAACAGGATCTTTTGGCTTTGCGAAAATATGGCCTAAAGTCAAATAGGGTTTTAAGGCAGCCTTAATATTACAATTACTTAAGATTCTCTTGATTGGTTCTGTGACACCTTGAATGTATGGAACTATTGCAAAACCCTTAACAGAGGAATCACCCTCGGAGTTAATTTGGTTCCTACAAACAGGTGGTCTCAGGCAATTATTAAGAAAACGCTTTGGGTAATTGTTTTCCCCTAAAACATTTAGAACATATTCACGTCCATTAGCTTGAGAATCACTGTTTGACGGTAACGATTCAGCTTTTTGAAGCAAAGTTTTTGCTACGGATCTTTTATGGCTTACTGGGTGATGAGAGTCGTATGACAAGTATTTGTCTGTGTGTGTGGGTTTGCGATAAACATCAGTCTCTAACTTCCCTTCGACAGTTCTGTGCACATTCAAATCTAAAAAAGCTAAATGTCCATTTATCTCACGTTCTACCGTGAATTGGATAGACGGCTCAATAGAATTTAAATGTTGCAGCAGAATATCGATCTCATTTGTAGAAACCGTAGAGATGATATCATCGACGAAACGTTTCCAAAACGATAGAGACACCGGAACAGAGGTCACAGAACCAAAGGTGACACAGAACAGGTGTCACAGAACCAATCAAGAGAATCTTAAGTAATTTTAATATTAAGGTTGCCTTAAAACCCTATTTGACTTTAGGCCATATTTTCGCAAAGCCAAAGATCCTGTTGAAAAAAATCAGAAGACTCATGCTATATATTCTATACCATGCGGTGACTGCGACAAAGAGTATTTGGGTCAGTCTAAACGCCAGTTTGATACACAGCTAAAAGAACATCAAAAGGCTGTTTCAACTTTAGACAAGGGGAAATCAGCTTTAGCCGAATATGTATGTTATACTAAACACGAGATTGCGTGGGAAAACTCTAAAGTAATTACCACAAACAATCGCTATGGTCAAAGACTTTGCCTAGAAGCGTGGCATATAAATATGAGTCATCATGCTTTGAATAGGGATGACGGTGCCTATTTGGCAGAGGAATAATGCATCTTCTTGGCAGGTGACATCATCCCTTGGGTATTTAAGAAGCCACGATCGCAGTTTTAGATCACCCCTGATGAAGACACTAGACTGGAGTGTCGAAACGTTGGGTCTTGATTACAATTCGACTGGGCTTTGTAATAATTTATTTAAACTAGAGTAGCGAGCGAAACATGATTGATATACCTAGTTGCAGTGAACGAACAAACTTTATATGTATAATAACTTGTTTTGAAGATTTTTGTTCTCATGCTTAGTTCTTGAGATATTTCATTTGTTTGTAACCATGTGACGTCATCTACTCAATTACATATCTAATGAGATATCAGTAATTGTTGTGTGTCTTTGCTATTTTTGATCGATTTGTTAAAAAACACAGTATGGTTAATGATGCAGATTAAATTAACAAACGCGCCTCATCTTTCGAAATATTTTGATAAAAATAGCAAAGAACACAACAATTACTGATATCTCATTAATATATGTAATTGAGTGGATGACGTCACATGGTTACAAAGAACAAAATGAAATATCTCAAGAACTAAGCATGGGAACCAAAATCTTCAAAACAAGTTATTATACAGTTTTACGAGCACTTTCGTTTAAGAAAATAAAAATTTTGACCATACTGCCCCTTTAACTTTAATCACTTTTTTATTCAACCGGCCCCAGGACATCCTTGCGCTTCGCTATACTAAAGGCTGCATTCCTGTTACGCGTTTTTCATACGTGCGTACACGCACGTAAAAGTTGAATTCGCTTTACATCCTACTTATGAAATAACTAAATTTATAAAAGGACAGCATTCAGTTTTGTGTATGATTTAATGTGTATTTGTTAAGGTTATTTGCACTTATATGAAATTTTAAGCGAATTAAACTTTTATGTGCATGCACGCACGTATGAAAAACGCGTAACTGGAATGCAGCCTTTTAAAACTTTCATTGTCAGTAGTGACTTTTCTAGTTGCGAAAATTACTGCTTGCTTTGTGGTATCTTACACGTTGTCTTTGAAACTTCACAGCCGAGACAGATCACACTTTTATTAACATGCATTCATGATTGTTTCTTGAACTACTCTCCAATCAGTCACACTTGAGTAAGCTCTTTGAATGCAAACTGTCCAGTTTGCTTAAAAAACGAGTGCGCCCTCTCAACGTAAACAGTTAAACTCAAACTCGACTCATACTTCAACTCGCACTTGAGGGCATGCATCTTACTCGAGTTTAACTGGAGTGTGAGTATGATTGAGCTGTAAGAATACAGGCGTGAGTATATCCTTATTCCTATAGTGCTATAACTATTAAAATATCGATCTTGATGCTTATAAGTAGTATACAAAGTGGGGGTTCTCGACCAGGTGGTCCACTAAGCACGACCAATGACGTCATCACAGTATAATTTCACATCAATTACACAGGCTTGTAATGTATTTGAAAAGTGTGCACCAATGATTACTAGTATTTTAAGAAAGTTTTAAAGTTTAATACTTTGCTAATATTTATCCCCACATATATTCTTTCTAACAAACGGAGTCAATTTTAACACGTTCTCGATATATATTCTACTAAAGTTGTTGTAATGCTTGTGGGACGTAGATATTGTACGCATGCGCAGTGAGAATTGTGTATTACGAAAATTCCTGACTTATAGGAGTTTGCAAAGATTCCGAGGGGAATTCCTCCGAGGATATCCCAGTTTATTCAAAATTCCCCCAAATCATAAATGACAATATAAATAGAGTATACAAGGTGTATTTGAATTCATCGTATTACAAGGTTTTATTAGATTATCTTCGAGTGTCCACTGCTTTAACACCATCCTTGGTTTTCCATGGGGATGTATTCACCACGTTTAGGACCATTAAACAAGGAATAATAAAAATCCAGACATACCTAAGAAAATTTTTAAACAGAACTAAGGGTTGTTAAGCCCAAGTTAAAATCGCTGTCAACGCCGTTGTTATGGTCGATATTTCCATATTACAGAGTCATTAAAAAGTGATTAACCCGCCCACCCCGTGTGGATATATATATTTCATTTCACCAAGCCAGTTTGAGACAGGAAAACTTTGTACCTTAAAATCGGGCGCGTGGTTTTTCAGGTAAAAGTTTGCACACGATTTCAGTTTTAAAACACATTTATTTCTTCAAAACGTTGTATTCATTTGTTTGAGACGTTTCACTATCCGATTCCTCATCGTGGCTGCTTTCATCATCGTGGCTACTCTCATCATCGTGGCTGCTTTCATCATCCGAGTTATTGATATCCTAAGATACTGTGTGATATCCTAAGATACTGTATGATATCCTAAGATGTTGTATGATATCCTAAGATACTGTATGATATCCTAAGATACTGTAAGATATCCTAAAATACTGTATGATATATATCCTAAGATATTGTATGATATCGTAAGATACTGTATGATATCCTAAGATATTATATGATATCCTAAGATACTGTATGATATCCTAAGATACCGTAAGATATCCTAAGATACTGTATGATATCCTAAGATATTAATATCCTAAGATACTGAACGATATCTTAGAATATTGATATCCCAAGATACTGTATGATATCCTAAGATATTGATATCCTGAGATATTGATATCCTGAGATATTGTTATCCTAAGATACTGAACGATATCCTAAGATACTGTTTGATATTCTAAGATATTGTATGATATCGTAAGATACTGTATGATATCGTAAGATATTGTATGATACCCTAAGATACTGTTTGATATCGTAAGATACTGTATAATATCCTAATGGAGCTGGCTCAGAGGAAGAACACTGGATAGATTCATCCTTATCTTTATCGTCCTTATCTTTATCTTGCTTATCCTTATCTTTATCTTCTTATCTTCCTTATCCTTATCTTCTTATCTTCTTATCTTCCTTATCTTTTATCTTTTTATCTTCCTTATCCTTATCTTTTTTTATCTTCCTTATCCTTATCTTTATCTTCCTTATCCTTATCTTTATATTCCTTATTCTTATCTTTATCTTCCCTATCCTTATCTTTATCTTTATCTTTATCTTCCTTATCCTTATCTTTATCTTCCTTATCCTTATCTTCTTATCTTCCTTATCCTTATCTTCTTATCTTCCTTATCCTTATTCTTATCTTTATCTTTTTATGTTCGTTATCTTTATCTTCTTGTCTTCCTTACCTTTATCTCCTTATCTTTATCTTCCTTACCTTTATCATCTTATCTTCCTTATCCTTATATTCTTATCTTCCTTATCTTTCCTTCTTACCTTCCTTATCCTTATCATTATCTCCCTTATCCTTATCTTTAACTTCTTATCTTCCTTATTTTTATCTTCTTATCTTCCTTACCTTTATCTTCTAATCTTTACCTTCCTTGTCTTTCCTTCTTATCTTCCTTATCCTTATCTTCCTTATCTTTCTCTTTTAATCTTCCTTATCTTTCTCGGAGCCGAGCCGAAATAGCTCGGGGCTTAGCTGCGTAGGCTCGGAGCCATTCTAAATGGCTCGGAGTCGAGCTCTATTGGCACGGATAAGGAAGAAGATGCGGGGATAAATATAAGGAAGATTAAGAAGATAAAGATAAGGATAAGGAAGACAAGAAGTTAAAGATAAGGATAAGGATAAGGAAAATAAAGATAAGGATAAGGAAGATAAGAAGAGAAAGATAAGGAAGATAAGAAGAGAAAGATAAGGAAGATAAGGATAAGGAAGATAAGGATAAGGAAGATAAGGATAAGGAAGATAAGAAGGAAAGATAAGGAAGATAAAGATAAGAAGATAAAGGTAAGGAAGATAAGAAGATAAAGATAAGGAAGATAAGAAGTTAAAGATAAAGATAAGGGAGATAATGACAAGGATAAGGATAAGGAAGATAAGAAGGAAAGATAAGGAAGATAAGAATATAAGGGTAAGGAAGATAAGATGATAAAGGTAAGGAAGATAAGAAGATAAAAATAAGGAAGATAAGGATAAGGAAGATAAGAAGATAAAGATAAGGATAAGCAAGATAAAGATAAGGAAGATAAAGATAAGGATGAATCTATCCATTGTTCTTCTTCTGAGCCAGCTCCATTAGGATATTATACAGTATCTTACGATATCAAACAGTATCTTAGGGTATCATACAGTATCTTACGATATCATACAGTATCTTACGATATCATACAATATCTTAGGATATCAAACAGTATCTTAGGATATCGTTCAGTATCTGAGATTTTTTATTTTTTGGCGGGAAAATGACGTCACAAACTTGGCGCCAAAAATTTAAAAATTAGCAATGACTAATACTATTTATTTACTTGGAAGACCATGCTGTAGCAATCTTGAAACTGAAGTCTGTTTCGAAATACGACCATTCGCTTCAAAGATAGACTGGTTCAAAGTTCGCAACCTCGTTCCCAGGGCTTTTCCCTTTTTGTCATTGGGAAAGCGGGAAAAGGCCCTGGTACCGGCCGATCACATGACTTTCAACACCCAGATATAGTGGGTGTAATAAATTATAATAATAATGAATTAGAAAATCCAAGATGGTCGCCAACCTAAGAGTGTCCACACAATTTAAGTGCTTAGAGCGGCTTAAAAATGCGTTTAGTCTTCTTTTTGCTACCAACGTACTCGAAATCAGATTCTTCAGCTTTTATTACATGGGAACTATGTAGTTGCTGTTCTTCCAACTGGGTTTGGCAAATATCGTTCGTTCGCTATAAAACAAAATTAACAGCAAAAATATAATAGTATTACGACAGATGTTCTCCAGCTGGACAGGCTTGCCTAAGAGGACACGGAAAGTATTTTGAACTGGGGATGTTAAACGTGGTTTTACCCTTCCAAAGACTCTGCTGTGGGACGATTGGAGCGAGTTTATGAGGAATATTTTATACAGTGATTCAAAGAAATGTTTTTGCATATACTGTATTATGTTATTGATCTATTGTTGAATGTCACTTATATTATAAAGTGCCAATGGTTGGAATATTTATTCATTGATATTTTAAACACAGATGAAGTGTTATATGCTCTTTCCTTGTTTACGTTTTCCTTGCAGCCAAATGTTGTTGAAGCTGGCAAGCTGCAAAACTGACATATGAGTGATATGACCCAAATATTGGATATGCATCTTAGTTTGCTTCCAGTAAAATGTAAACAAGACCTTAAGAATTCTATACGAGATAAGAAATATTACGTTTAAAATCATGACTGGCAAATTAGCATGTGCGAATTGATGCTTCCTAATAATAGTATATACTCCAGTAAAGCTTGCTTGCTTCAATTCTTGCTGTTACCATCTGCACATTATCAGGGTGGAGAGTTGATTTGAATTTTTTGTCCCAGGGGATAAAGGTAGGGAATAGATTTTCCATCACAAAAGGGGCAATTTGCCCAACCAGTTAGAAGATGGCATGTACTTTAAGTGACCATTCATTATATCCTAGGGTGGGAGATTCTTATGTCAAAATGTTATGGGACCCTTTTTAATCTCTTAATTTAATAATGGAGACCCCTCCTAAATATTTAAGACTATATAACATGATGCAATTCTAATCTTCATTCATGTGAATGCCTGACTATGAAGAAAATACATTTTGCAACACAGGGATGGATCCAGCATGATCTGGTGGGGGGGGGGGTGCTCTGCCAGCTCTGGTGCCGAGTTGTGTCGGTCATGTGTGTCGCCCGCCCATCAACTTGCTTCACTACTGCAAAGTCTTGCTTTACTACTGTATTTGATTTGTAATTGTTGTTCACAGCTCACTTATCATCATGTTATTACTCAAATTACTGTATCTCATTTTGCCTGTAATAATTTTTTGCTTTATCATGAAAAATAGCACCCCCGTGCTCTGGCCAGGGCTAGGGGAGTGCACAGCCCCCCCCCCAGTAAATCCATCCCTGTTGCAACATACACCACAAGAGCTAGAATGATTGCTTCCTTTGGATGATTTGTCTTAGAATTATATTACCTATATTACAACAATTCTTCCTATTCTGAAACCAGTTGCTATTCTGCCAAAAAAAAAAGACTCAACAAATCAAGGACCCCCTCCAAGGCAATTTTGCCAGCAAAATAGATTAAATTTGATGGTAACTGTTCTGAGAATATATTAACTCATTGAGTGGCAGCATTCTGCCTAGACTTGCCACAAGTCGACCTCGAACGAAATGCAAGCAGCGAGTGTGAGCCGACATTTCATTTGAGGTCGACTTGTGGCAAGTCTATACATTCAGCCCTTGAGTAAAATTATCTGGCACCAGACGGAGTAGTATACTAAAGTAGGGACATTGCCACTATACAAATTAAACTACAAATTAAACAACACTACAAATTAAAAAAAAATTTGCAATGGTCTATATTCAAAAATCAAAAGGCTCTATTTGTAAATTTTAATTGACTTTAATTAAATTAATATAACTACTTATACTTATAGCTACCTTGCCCCAGTCACTTCAAGTGAATTCTACGTGAGGAGGGGGACATTAAAAATCCTTGGGTTTACTTGGTAAAAGCAAGAATTGAACCATGCATTACATGTATATGGAGAGCAGTTTTAAATATATTTTATCATGCATTTACCTTGATAATTACACTGACGTGAAAGGTCAAGTGTCTTAAATCCCTAGTTTCCTGTTTTCTTCTGTTTTTTTCGTCGTCGAGAAATCGAGTTTGCGTTCGCGCATCGCAGGCTCAGGGTGCAACGATTAATCCAAAATGCCATCGATTCTTTGACTCCACGATTCATATATAATAGTAAGAAGCTGGTATTTATGTACGTAATAGTCGGCTCATGTCATGCTTGTGGTGCATTTTTCGTTTATTAGCCCATATATAGACCTATATGAACTTATACGCACGCGCACAATTCCGAACTCCAATGGTGATATATTCAGTCCAGTTTCAAAATGGCGCCTTTTGGCTAAGTGATCAGAAAATATTTCACAGAGTTTCGTTGAATTTTCAA